AAAAACGAGAGGAAGACAGAATGCAGAAATGCTCTTTCGCGAATCGCGAATCTAACAATTGCTAGCATTTATATACCTCAAAATTATTTTTTTTTTAAATCTAAGATTAATATTAAATCGATTGTATTTATTATCGCGAATTGTAACATCATGTAAAGTATTGAGTATACTAAATTGTGATGATTTTTTCGAAAGCCTAATCAAGCGATCAGAATAGTGGGTAATTTTGATATAATTATATTGCAAATTATAAATTAACATAAAATTACTACAGGTGTAATATTTATGCACGGAAAGACTTGACGCTTCTTAGTATATTTTTCGATATTGAACTTTGTACTGAACACGAAATGGACTTTCACAAGTGCGGTGGTCGTTGGTCTTCCAGTTGAGTTCATGCACGCGCGGACATATAAGAATGCAGACGCTACCTGAAAAATCGTGGAAACCTCAAGGACAGAGTTTCTTCCCCTTTCATATTTTCTACGGCTCAATTTTTTTCCACTCCTCTCTTTATTGCACAAGAGGCACGAATTGCCTCTACGAAATCGGCTTCTAAAATTCTTTTTGGAATTTTGTAAAAAGATATATATGTAGTATTTAAAGTACTAAATAAAAAGATTTATAATATCTCTATATCATTATAAAAACAAACAAAAATAAATATAATATAAAAAGATAATCATCAAAGAGCATATCAATATCCATTCCGCAATAAACGATTGAAATAAAGCACAGATTTTAAGATCGCTCCAAACAAAACTCTCTTCCCGATAATAATAATAATACATTATATTATACTAAAATAAAATTTATATATTCGAGAAACATATTCGCGCAAATGTGTTGTGTGTCACGTATAAAATCTTCTCACGTGTAATTCTATCACAAGCTGCGCTGCTTTCCACGTGTCTAAAAAAAAAAAAAACAGCTTCGCTAATTAAATAAGAAAGGAGATATTTGACCCCGATGCACTGAGTTGCGCCGGCGGCGACGCAACAACGACACGATGACATAATTTCGGCTCATGCTCACCGTTCGCATTCGTTCAGACGTGAGACTTATACAAACTATCCGTCACGCACCAGACAGGTCTGGGACGGTGAACAGCGATTGACTTGTCACAGGCACGTGAGGGTCTAACGTAATGTCAAATGAATATGATAATATGCAGCGGTTTCTCGTCGCATAGAACATATTCATTTTTTGCCAGGCAATGATCGCGGAGAGGCAACATGATATGTATTTATAGTGTCTGGATTAACCGGAACCAAAACAGACACTGAAGAATTCGCCCTTGCACGTTCGCCACGTGTAAGAAGTTAAAAAGTAGCCGCGTGTGACTACTTCTAGTAGCTGGCGTGTGGCATATTTAGGACACGGACTTCGGACTTCGTAGTTTTATTTATAAATGTTATTTCGTAATATATTAAAATTAATTTTTTAACTCAGATTTAATTATTTATCCCTATTAAATAAACATAACATGATTTTTTGTTTTTCCTCCGTCTGATAATATAAGAACGTAACAGAATTAATATCAAATACGATTTTTTTATGTACATTGTACGTGTGTGTGTGTATAAAAATATTCTAAAATATTAATAAATATAAAAAAAAATAAATATATTTAC